CATTCCCCAAACTGTTCCAGAGAATTAGGCTGTGCAGCCGGTCTTTTTCAAAAACAGTCGAAATACCGTTCGAATTACCGAATGATTGGTTACCGAGTTACTGAATGTCAAGGATTGGACTATGGGTCTGAGAGTTGACAATTATTGTAAGTGAAACAATAAAAGTGAAGGTGAATTGGGTTACATATATGTACAGTATTTACAGCATATTTACAGAATAGATTCAATTCCACAATTGATTCATGTCAGAAAGTACATGACAGAGGACCTAGACAAATGGCAAAAATTAAAAGCGCTCATTCAGTCCATAATGTGGTAGTCTTTTGAGTCTATGTATCCAGTAGGCTTCTCTCTGGCGTAATTTTATATCCCAATTGCCTTTACAAGGCGGTCTTGGTATAGACTCAATCCCCATGAATCTAATACCTACCGAAGAGTGATGGTGATGTTGGCGAGCCTCCAGTCTTCTTTTTGTCGAATTGACATGTTCTCTGATATGGCATTTAAAAGGTCTAAATGTCTTACCCACATACAGCATACCGCATGAACAAGTCAGTAGGTAGACCACTCCAGCTGTTTTACAGTTGAAAAAAGAGCATGCGTTAACCACTTAAGGACAAATGACATGTGTGACATGTCATGATTCCCTTTTATTCCAGAAGTTTGGTCCTTAAGGGGTTAAAGCTTTCAGTTGCATCGCTGTTTGAAAATTCTTTAGAGTTTTTTTAATATATATGGGCATGCGCTGCAGTGTCTGCAATGGTAGGTACCCATCGTAAGGTATTGTTTGAGATTGAGTGGTGATGACGTATTGAGATGACTAGGCACTAGTAAGTCCTTTATAAGGATAGGCCAGAATTTTTTGAGAATCGCTTGGATATTCTCCCAACCAGCATCAAATGTGCAATACATCGCATTGGGGAGGCCACATTGTCCATAATATTATTATTATTATCATTATTGCCATTTATATGGCGCCAACAGATTCCGTAGCACTTTACAATATTATGAGAGGGGATTTAACTATAAATAGGACAATTAGAAAAAACTTACAGGAACGATAGGTTGGAGAGGACTCTGCTCAAACAAGCTTACATTCTATAGAAGGTGGGGTGTAAAACACAATAGGACAGGAAATATCAAATAGGGTGGGAGTAAAACAGAGCTGGAGGAGAGAGTAGAGTGCTGACCTTTCGAAGAGTGCAAGAGACAGGTATGTGAGGTAGAGGTTAGTCTGGGAGGCCATAAGCTTCTTAAAGGCACTTCTTAAAAGATGCAAGACTAAGAGTCTGATGGCGGTAGGCAGGCTATTCCATAGGAAGGGAGCCGCTGTGAGAAGTCCTGCAAGCGTGAGTTGGCCATACGGGTGCGAACAATGGACAGGAGGTGGTCACGGGCAGAGCGGAGAGACAGAGAAGGGACATAACTATGGATCTGTGAAGAGATATTGGAGGGGAGTTGTTCAGTGCTTTATAGGTGTGAATTAGTACCTTGATTTGACTCCTATAGCATACAGGAAGCCAATGTAAGGCCTGACAGAGGGGTGAGGTGTGAGAGAACCGACTAGAGAGTAAAATCAGTCTGGCGGCAGCGTTCATTATGGACTGTAGCGGTGCAGTACGGCTTTTGGGAAGACAAATCAGGAGAGGGTTACAATAATCCATGCGGGAAATTACTAGAGCATGGACAAGCTCCTTGGTAGCATCTTGTGTAAGAAAGGGGCGGATGCGGGCTATGTTTTTAAGATGGAATCTACAGGATTTGAATACTGAATGTGAGGCTCAAAGGTGACACCAAGACAGCGCACTTGCAAGGATGGACTTATGTGGGAACCACTAACTTGAAGGGAGAGTATTAGAAGGAGGAAAGACGAGGAGCTCAGTTATAGAGAGATTGCGTTTCAGAAAGCAGGAGGACATCCAGTCAGAGGTGGAAGAAAGGCAAGCAGTGACACGTTGAGCAGTGACACGTTGAGGGATTCCCTATCTGTGAGTAGAGCTTGTGCATATTCTCTTTTAAGAACTTTATTAGGGTACCCCTTCTCTTTAAAGGCCCCACATAGTGTCCATGCTTTGATTTTAAATTATTCTATTGTTGAGCAGTTTCGTCATAGACGGAGGTACTGGCCTGTTGGTATCCCTGCTTTTAAGAGAGTCAGATGGTAGCTGGACCATTTGAGAAGATTATTGGCTGCCGTATTCTTTTTGAATAGTGTAGTTATAATTTTACCATTGAGTTGTGTCTTAATGGTTATATCGAGAAAGTTTAGACTGTACCACCTATATCACTTGCAAGGCGAATGTTGAAGGAGTTCTCATTTAGCTTATGAATGAACTCATTAAGTTTAGTGGGTGAGTCTAACCAGATTAAAAAGACATCATCGATATCTCTTTTCCAACAGAAGACATGTTCCATGAAAGGTTTTAATGTTGAGTCTGGGGTAATCTGTCTTTCCCACAAGCCCAGGAACAGGTTGGCGTATAAAGGTGCACAAGATGTGCCCATAGCTGTTCCTGTAGTTTGATGGTAGATTTTACTAGGGATGTGCGTGGGAAAAATTTTTTGGGACTTCGGGACTTCGGCACTTCGGTTTGGTTTGATTCAACACTTCGGAACTTCGGCACTTCGACACATCAGAACTTCGGCAACTTTGGACCTTTGACACTTCGGACTTTCGGCACTTCGGAACTTCAGCACTTTGGAACTTCGGCACTTTGGGACTTCGGCACTTCGGAAAAATAACAAACATTTGTGGGGGTTTTTTTTGTTTATTTTTAAACAGCAATGTTTTACATTGCTAGTGGACTACGGCAGCACCCAGACCACTTAATTTTAAAGAAGGGGTCTGGGTTTAGTAAATAATTACTTAGTAGTGTTAGTTTCGTATATTAAACAGTTTACAAAATGGATGATATTTTCACTGCACAGATAGTGCAGCCAATCAGGGAGCTATACCAGCTAGTGCAGCCAATCAGGGATCACAACCAGCATGCAACATTCTGCACACTATATAATCCCACCCCTGTGACACCATATTTGTGGAGGGTTTAGGAGCAGAGAGTAAGCAGAGAGTGAGCAGAGAGAGAGAGTGAGCAGAGAGAGAGTGTGAGCAGAGAGAGAGACTGAGCAGAGAGAGAGACTGAGCAGAGAGAGGGAGAGTGATCAGAGAGAGAGAGTGTGAGCAGAGTGAGAGACTGAGCAGAGAGAGGGAGAGTGATCAGAGAGAGAGAGAGTGAGCAGAAAGGAGAGTGAGATGAAAGAGACTGAGCAGAGAGAGACTGAGCAAAGAGAGAGACTGAGCAGAGTGTAAGAGCAGAGAGAAAGCAATGTGTGTGTGAACAAGCAAGTGAGAGTGTGTGAGAGAGAGAGCAAGTGATGTCTGGTAGGGAGAGCAGTGTAGGGTCCATCTGGGAGAGTGGTGGTAGTGGGGTAGTTGTGGCTGGCAGGGTGTCTCCCAGGTAAAGTGGTGGTAGTGGGCTAACTTTGGCTGGCAGGGAGTCCCCCAGGCAGAGTGGTGGTAGTGGGGTAGTTGTGGCTGGCAGGGAGTCCCCTAGGGAGAGTGGTGGTAGTGGTGTAGTTGTAGGGGATTTACCCAGGGAGGGTGGTGGGAGGAAACATAGGCATTCTAGGGTCAGGTAGGGTGGTGCGAGGAAGCGAGGCATTCTTGGGGCAGGGAGGGTGGTGCAAGGGAAGCTAGGCATTCTAGGGGCAGGGAGGGTGGTGCGAGGGGAAGGAAGGGCGCTGCTAGGGAGGATGGTCATTCTAGGGGCAGGAAGGGTGGTGCGAGGAAAGCTAAGCGTTCTGGGGCAGGGAGGGTGGGGTTGGGGAGGATTTGCCCAAGCAGGGTGTTGGGAGGGAAGGTAGGCATTCTAGGGGCAGGAATGGGGCTCCCAGGGAGGAGCGTAGAAGGAAGGTTGTTGGGAAAGATTTTCCCGGAAGACTCCTCATCTGTAGCAGTACAGACTCCTCATCTGAGGAGGCCCCCCCTCTGAGAAATATCACAGGGCCCCCTTTCAGCAACACTGAAAACTGTGTGCTGGTGGCTGCCATCATCAAAGAAAAATTATACTCTTTTCTACCAGACCATCGGGGAAGAAGGCTGCCTGGGACAGGATAAGGGACGCAGCAAACACTGTTGGAGAGGTATGTAGGTCCATCGGCTGTGTGAGGCACAGGTAAATAATATATCACAAAATTATTCTTTATATAGTCACCAATAAAAATTTAATTGAATTTGCAGGGGAATTATAAAAACTAGGCCAACGTTTCTTTTCTGGATGAAGAGCTGAATAGAAATTTTCTTGCAAATCCCCCTTTATTCCTTTTTAGTCATTAGACTCTCTTAAATGTAAAAAAAACATATAGGCACACACAATTTATTACTTATTCCAAAAAATATTTATTAACTTAGCACATTAACAGCAGACAATAATGAATTCAAATATTGTAATATGTTAATTATTTGTAAATATATATGGTATATTAGTATACGTATTGGTTAATTAATAGTTTAATAGTCACATGACATAAAATAATAACTTCTTATCATGTAGCTAGCAATTACAATCTAACAAGCGAATTACATTTTACATGTGGTGTGTAAAATCTTAAAATCTTATACTCCCCAGTCAGTGTGGAGGCTACCCTGATAGTGGAAGCAAGCCATCCTATTTTTAATAAGACTTTATTGTTGTTAACTTTTTGTCAATTTCTCATGTACTTAATGCTGTTTTTTACAGGTACTATGATTGCAAGGCGGCGGTGAAAAAGAAGATGTTGTCGCAGTCCACTGTGGGATTCAGTGAGTGGCAGACTTGGCTCAAAGACGGGCTCCTTTCAGAGGCTGTCCCCGGACTTGGTGCTGTGGATACGGAAGAGCCAGCAGTGCAGCAGCGAGCTGGTGAGTAAAATAGTTAATAGAGTACCATGTTATCTGTGGAAAAACAGGAAACAAGTAGTGTTAAAATTATACCACCAAAACACAATGCCCAATAACAAATCATAGTTAACGGCTTCGAGAGAGAAAAAAGGAGAGGGGGGGGGAGTGGGAGGCATGAAAGGCACAGGGTATTAAAGAATGTTGTCTGCAGTAAATTAGCCAGTTCTACAGAGATCGAACAGATAAAATCAGTTTGGTCAGAGCATCTCTGATCACTTCACTCCCTGGTTAGACACATGCCAGATACATGAAGGTGTCAAATATTTGCTATTTGAAATAAGTTCACTGCAGTAATCCAGGGCTTGTAGAAAGATTATTAATTAGTAAAGTAAGATTTACAACTTTTAAAATTTTAACGATTGGAATATTACCCTCACCCTATGATATTAGCCGTTTTAGCATTAATTTTTTTGATTTATCTATTTATGTAGAAAACGAGCAAATAAAGAGTAGAACCCATTTTAAATCTGTGGATGTTAATAGTTTTATTGTTTGTACAAACTGCCATTTCAAACCATGGCGTAACAATATTCCGAAGGGACAAATGTTAAGATTAAAACGTAATTGTACGGAAGAGTATATTCAACAAGTAGTGAAGTTACAAGGACAGTTTAAAGAGAAAGGATATAAGGATGCTCTTTTAGAACAAGCTTTTAAAGAGGTTGACAAGATAGATAGGAAATAAATCCTGAAATATAAGAATAAAAACTTAATTCAGACTGAAATTGAAAAAGTTCCACTGATTTTTAATTTTTGCACAAATAATCAGGATTTACGGACGATTAGAAACAGGAATTGGCACATTTTAAAAACTGATGATAAGGTGTCTAATTTTATCGAAGATAAACCAAAATTATTTTTAGAGGTGCAAAAAATTTAAAACAAATCTTAACAAAAAGTTTTTTAGATACAGATGATAAAAAAGATATATTTTTTTAAACAATCTAAAGGTTTTTATTACTGTGGGGATTGCAGAGGGTGTCAACTAAGAAAGCAAAAGTATAAGAAGGTGTAACAAATCCCTATAAGGTGCCTGGGAACATCCACCATTTTCTTGCCTTTTTCCACTTTACCATGCACATAAATACAAAGACTGTTCGTATATGGCATTACTGGCCCTTTAAGAACTAGCCGGGGACATATAAAGTAACAGAGACCAAGGATTATATATATATACCTCTTATCCAGCAAAGGACATCAAGCTGTTTGAAAATTGTATGTTTTACCTGCTTTCGTGTGGATTTTCTTTAAAGACTTTTGATAGATTAAAGCATTTGTTTAATTGTTTTCACCGAAACTATATTAACACTGCATTCACCGTACGAAGGAAAACTACCGAACACCGGACCATCCTGATACCTAATTGTGCTTCAATTAACCTCCCTGTTCGGCTAATACAGTCATATTGAAAACACACAAATGCTTTGTTTAAGTCCCTGGGTGGCCGCCATTTCGGGAGTTTTACACGTGGCCGCGGCCATCTTAAACTCCTGAACAGCTGTGTTTTGCCATGAGTGTATGGAACTAAAATCGGACACTTGACTAGGCAAACACCGCTGAGACCTCCAGACTTAAATTCGTGCTGAAACTACTGAATGTCCCGCCGTTTGGTAGACAGACTAAGTTAAACAGGAACCTCAGGATATTCATAGATGGCAAGCATTTTGGGACTTACAATCCACAAATGGAGACCGACCGGTCAAAACTTTAAAGTTCTATAACTCCCGAACCCCTGACCCGATCTGGGTGATTTTTAAATATGTTGCTCCCCCAGATTAGGGCTATCAGGAGATATTTGGGGTACATCCAAAACTTGGGGAAAAATGTGTGCTTGTTAATTATGTTAAACGCTTATCTAAGGGGAGGAGATGTGTGGGTTGTACCTTGTGCTGTATTGGTTACTGTAATAATTATGTGGGTGCTTCCCTTGCATGGGAAGCATCACGTAAAAGGAGGGTACCTGCCATTAAAATTCAGTTCTTCTTGACCCTTCAAAACGTAGCCTTGTCTCGTTCTTGGAAGGGAATCTTCAGCTTAATCACCTAACTCTTCAGCTTAATCACCTAACTCCTTGCGCTCTACTTGGATCCAGTGAATGGAAATAAGGAACTCCATTACTGAACAGCGGCTTGTCGGGAAAAAGGACGTCTCCAACAGCTGATACCCCTTCACCAACTGGGCTAGCCGTTACAGAAGGTTTCTAAGTTCACGTCCAATGTGACAAAAAAGGAATATAATATTAAATCCTTTATTTCTTGCAACAGTAAAGAGTTATATATATGCTTATTTGCCCTTGTGGTTTACAATACATATGAAGGACCTCACGTTGCTTAAAAATTAGGATTAGGGAACATATTTATAACCGTAAATATATGAACCACAGTGTATCTAAACATTTTTTGGAATGCCATAATGCTGATCCAAAGGATCTGGGATTTATAGAAATAGAGCAAATAAAAGTACACTGGAGGAGGGGGGATCAAGAGCGCCTCCTGAATAGAAATGAAATGAAATAGATTTTTGATATCGATACGTTAAGGGATTAAATGCGGATTTTTAGATCACCCCATACATATAGACAATCTCACGTTCTTTTTTCTCTATTTTGCATTATATATTTCCCATTTTTAAGACATACTTTTTTTATTATATATTATATCATTTCTGTTGTACATTTTTTAAAGTTTATATTTATTATAAATATTCTTTATAAATATATTTTATAATAATATATTTTTTATAGACATTTTTTATGCCTTTAGCTCTTCAGTTATATATTTATATGATGGGTTGATCTCCCAATATGAACCTTCTAACAAATATTTCTTAATGAGGCTGCTATGTTTGATGTATAATTTGAATATGGAAATACAATATTTTAAAAAAAAGTTTTTCTCTCTTTTTTGTCTCCCCTGATTTATCTATCTGTACATGATTAATATGAGAAAACTGCTAATTGTTTCTCTTTTCTATTTCATAAGATAATTTGGTCAGTATACTTATGTAAAGGTTTTAATATGTAATGTGCATTACATAAATGACAGAAAAGACTGCTACAATTTGTAAATAGATATTTTGCCCTTTTGAACTGTCGGAAAGCCATATCTAGTGTGGGCAAAAGTAATTAAGGAGGAGAACATTCCGTCATGACGCTAGTGTAACGGATCACCTGGCACCCTGACTGGGTACCTCCGTTGAAGGATGCTCCTAGCACTTACCGAGGGCTCCAAGCGCTCCGCAGACACCACAACCACCGCAGACCCAACGAACCGCCGCAGCTTAGTTGCGGTCTCGCTGTCTCCTACCCACCCTGGACCTACGACAAGGCTCCAGTGGGTGAACCTCTCCTCCAAGAGAGGGAAACAGGAACAGCTCTTAAAAGAGCTTAGAAGTGATTATCCAAGGGAGCATGCAGAGCGTAGCAATCCCTTGTAGTGATATAGCAATTCCCCCAATAAGAGACAGGACTCTAGATTGAGGGTGAAGAAGAACTCTGGTTTAATGACACACACTCTGCTTTTATGCAATTCTCTCATGCAAGGGAGATGCCCACAGACAATTATACAATACCTAATCACACAATGGTTACAGCCCACACATCTCCTCCCCTTAGCCTGAGAGGTAACTCAATTATCCATACAGTTTAAAACATACTTTTTACCCAACTTTCATAACTCTAAAACTATACATTCAATCTTCAATCTTCATAAAAAATACATATTCAAACTCAACACACTTTACTTACAAACATATCCAAAATTCAACCAATTCCAACCAGGGGTTAAAGAGTTAGTTGGAAGTCCTTCATGACCGACCACAAGCACATTTTCCTGCCCAAAATAGTTCCATAGATCAATTTCACACTGAAAAAATCTTCGAACGGGACTTCGTCTCTGTGGCTGAAAACCCAGTGCAGGAGAAGGTAAGGGTCAGCAGTGTTCGTTAAAATGTGTAGCCGATTTCAGTTCCATGGATTTGGCTACACATACCGCTGACCTCGTTTGAATGAACAAATATGGCCGCCGCCACTTGTTCGTTTGTCGAATGGTGGCCCCTTCGACTACTTCGGCACTTCGGCTTTATCCGAAGTGCCAATTTAAAGTTGCAGCACTGCTCCAAAGTAATTAAAGGGCCAGAAACAGCATTATAAAAATCCATTATGCCCAAATACAGTTCTTAAAGGGTCAGTAACAGTATAATATGAGTGCATAAGCCCCCAACTCAGTTCCTTAAAGGGCAATACATCCCAGGGCCATAGTCGCAGGGCAGGAGGCTGGCAAACAGGCCCCTCCAAAAACCAGTGGCGAGGTTACTTTTGCCACATATCTCCCCTTTGGGTGGATAGACTAACCAGGTACCTGACCTTCTGACGGTCAGTGCCTGAGTTCCTCTGACAAACCACCCACAACAGCAAAGTGCAAGAGCAGCCCACCTACAACAAACAGTTACTGCACCTGGGTATTTCTCTGGGGTGATGGCGCTGTAAAGGTTCACCTGGCACCCCGACTGGGTACCTCCGTTGAAGCACTTCCTGAGGACTCCAAGCACTCTGGCAGACACGACAATCACCGAACCGGAGAAGCATATATCTTCTCTCAAGCATATGAATGCTATAACCAGCTGACTCCTAGCAGTCAAACTGGAACAGCATACAATAAATCCTTCCCCAATAATGAGACGACACTTCACTTTGAGGGTTAAGCAGGAACTGAAGGTTTATTCACACCACCTCCTTTTAAGACATTCTCCCAAGCAGGGGAGGGATTTACAATAATTAGTACAACAGCCAATCCCATACCTGTTACCTCCAACACATCTCCTCCCCTTAGATTAATACTTAACATAATTATACCGTACACACTTTTCCCCAATTCTTGGATGTACCCCAAATATGGGGGGTACACCTTTAAATGTTACATCCCCTGGTAGCCCTGATCTGGGTGAGACACATATCCAAAAAT